ATATCCAACACATTTTTTACCCCATTGGATATTAACACCTTCCAACAAAACATCGCGTAATCTATTACGATATGTAATTACACCAGCAAAATCATGTTTAAGAGGCTCTATTTCATAGATGTTCTTATATTTTAGTTGCGGTACAAAAAGTAATTGTCTTCCAACATGATCAACAATTGATATAGTATGATGTTCTTCAGGAGCTGAATCAGGCATGGCTTCATGAAAGCGAGCCTGAACTTCAGGTGGACTACAATAGAATAAAGAGGTAACACCTTTTCTATTAATGTAAATGTTATATCCTTGCCATCTCTCTAATTATATAAAATGAAAAAGAACATTATAGTAAGTAAACTCGTATTTTTTTTTTCAAGTAATAATTTTAACAGATATTTAATAAAACGAACCTCTTGGACCAGTCTCACGATCGAATACCTTGACATTAAATTTCTGACCGAGATGTTTTCGAATTGACTGATAAGTGCAAAGTCCACCTATACCAGCACCAACAATTAAAATTGTTTGAGTTTTATTCGTATTAGTTTCCATTTTTTTTAAAATTATAAAATTTTAATTGTCGTTTTTTTTCAAGTTTTCAAATAGGCAGCCTTATCAAAGTTCTGCGAGATTTTCGGAGTCGCCGTTTTTTTTCCATAGTTGTACAGAAAACAAATATGCGATTACTCATGTTTAAGGTCCGGAATCGGTGGTCCGTACAATTTTGGAAATTTTGAGGGCTGTAAAAATAATATTCCACAATTGTGCACAAACCAAAATCTGTATGTATGATTAGTATGATAACCCCACTTTCGGCAGATGGACTCCATATGTTCCTTACACGTGCCTGCTGCTATTAGGAGGTCTTTAAAGTCAGGTGGAATCGAGCCCAGGCCCGGCCCATGGGCACGATTCAACCTGACTTTGAAGACCTCCTACTGGCAGCAGGCATGTGTAAGGAACATATGGAGTCCATCTGCCGAAAGTGGGGTTATCATACATACTGTGTGGAATATTATTTTTACAGCCTCAAAATTTCCAAAATCGTGCGGCCGCAGATTCTGGACCCTACTCATGTTGATCCAAATTTAATGAGTCAATATAAATAATCTACCGGGTATTTCAAAAGTTCCAATACAGTTCATATTTTTTAAGTGACCTTATATATAGAGATCACTATTATTATTTTTGCAAATATATAAGGTAATCTCTATATTTAAGGTCACTTAAAAATAGGGACCGTGTATTGGAACTTTTGAGACACTCGGTAGAACTCAATACAACATTGCGATTGGCTAATGCCGTTGTTATCTGTTCAAAAAATTCAATGACTCTCAGTTTATCATTTCAGCATTACTTAATTTTTGCATAAATTAGCAAACAAACTATACATCTGGCCTAATTTTGTTTATACCCCAAAATTTAAAGGGTACTGATCGATTGATTGTGGTTAAATTTGAATTTGAAAGACATATTAATATCACGTATCGGGATCACTATGTACTCGGTAATCGATTTATTGTTGAAAAAAGTTATCGTTTAAAGAGTGTGTCATCAGTTAGACGCAGGTTCTAACATGTAATTTTTAAATTTAGGACGCATTCTTATGGAGTATGCATCAATTGACTGTCTAATAGCTAACAAATAATTATAATTTAAGGGGACCAAAAAAAAAAAGGTCTAATAAGCAAAATTAGTCCAAATGATATTCAATTATGCCTTCCAATCTAAAAACCTTAATGTTTCATTTTGGCTATACTGACATCTGATATGACAATTTATTTTATTATCAAATTCTAAATTATACATTATTGTTTGAAAATGAGTATCAACTGTAACATTGTACGTAACTTATGTTGTATTTCAAGTTATAGTGATTATTTATTGCATGAGATAAGTTAGAAAGAACACCAAATTCTGAAATTTTTAAAAACTTGAAATTAATCAATTTATTGTACTTTGCAAAAAGATGTGGCCTCTGTAGATCATGATGTCATCTGGGAATCAGAGGTTCTATAGATTTTAAAAATTTTACCGATTTCAAAAAGATACATGTTACCCTTGTTAATATCAACCTATTTGAATTAGCTTTAAATCATGTTGATAGTGATATTAATGAGAAATCATATTAAAGTTGATATATATGAGGGAATTTTGATATATAAAAATTTATAAAAATTTGGTTTGTGGCTTAGGTTGATATTAACGAGGTTGATATTAACGGGGTAACCTGTATAAACATAACCGATCGAAAATATGAAGTAATGGCAATTTAAAATCTCGGAAATTTTTCCTGTGGCCACATCTTTTTTGCAAATCGTTATAATAAATAATATAAATTTGTAAAATTAATCTTAGAATTTTTATTCGTTGCAAAAAAAGATTTTTTTTGTGCATTTCTGCTGACTCAATGTTATTATAATTATCGTTATGCAACTAAAAATTCTAGAATTTTATTGTTAGACAAAATTTGCATGGCATTATTTAAAAATAGTATACAGAAACTTAATTGTACTACGTAAATCGGAATCTATAAAGTTTCAATCGACCGGAATTATTGTACTATTTACGTACGTACGTACGTATAACCTTTTAAAATTGTTTAATTAGTGATAGGGATAGCGAGTAACGCATACCAAAATTTTGCCAAAAAATTTTTTTTATTCTAGTATGCAGGAAATAGTTTTTTATGCAAAATTTTGATTTCAAAGGCAGTGGTTTCACATTACGCCTGATCATGTTCTCGGCAAGAATTGAAGGTTGTAAGCACATACGTTCGTACGTGCAGTACGTTAATATAATGAAGAGTATATTAGGATGTTATTTTCTAAAAACAGATCATTATTATATGCTATGTAATAACAATATTGTGCAACAATGTAGACAGTGGATATTTCTAGCAAAAATCCCAATACAGTAAATAAATACGATTATAGTGCTGTTTCAATTAATGATTTTTAATTAATAACTTTAAGGGAAAACTTGACAAATGATAACAGAATTATTTTTTACTTAAAACACAAAAGCAGTTGTATTAATAAAATTTTTCAGTATAGCTCTTTAAAGTTGGTATTTTTTTTATGATTGATTATAAAATTTATCACAAAAATTTATTTTTGTTAATTTCCCTTTTTTTTTATTTTACATAAAGCTGCTCGATACGGTAGTATCGAAGCAACATTTGTCTCGAATCAGCACATGACCAGGTAAATGACATGCCCGGTTAGGCGAGACCAACTTGATTCTGTGTTTTACATTACCCCCCTCCCCTCCGGAGGGGGGGGGGGGAAGGAGATTTTGTGGTTTACATAGTAAAATTTTAAAAAAATTTTTCTTTCAAAAAAATTTCCGGATTGTCCGTGACTATATAAAAATTTACCGAAATAGCCCGTAGCCCTATATATATTTATCTAAATTTTTTTACTATGAGGGAGGGGGGAGAACGCTGGGGGATAATATAAAACACAGAATCAAGTTGGTCTCGTCTAAAAGATAAGGATAATAAGCATATATTATGTTAATATTTATATAGTAAATACTAACCAGAAATGCGACGACCCAATTCACCGAGTATTTTAAACCTTCTAGCATTTAAAACTCTTTGGGTATTTTCTTGTGCCAGATAAAAAATAGCACAAACAGTGCCATCTGATTGAAAATTGATCTAAAGATACAATTAAAGAAACATTCTTCTACATAACCACCACGTTCTAATTCGTAATAATAATCATAATAAAAGGTGCCTTGGCCAGATGTTCTTACGCTACATATATAGTGTCGGGGATGAAGCATGGAATCGATGATGCTGAGAATTTGGAGTCTCAATTTAAAGATATATAAACTCTACTAAAATTCACATATACTCTTTTTATCCGTAAATTCTAACCTAACTTTTTAAAAAAAAAAGCCAAAAAAAAGAATATTATAATTTATCGCTATAGCAATAAAACGTTATACAGTACCTACTGTTGTTAGGCAAAACTATTTTTGGCAAATGGCAAAGTCGAAACTAAACCCGACAAAAGTCAAAATTGGCAAAACTCTGGCGAAACGGCGAAACTATGACAAAACGGCGAAACTCTGGCAAAATCCCTGGTAAAGCTAAAACCCTGGAAGAAAGTCAAACACAGCGAAGATCAAATCCTCTAATGCTGAGCCATGTTGGTAAATTAAAATATTTTGCGTATGACTATTAAGCACATCATGTGGCTTATAATATACGAAAGCAATAAACAAAGCGATAGCCTTTTGATTGTATTCGAGTACTATTAAAAAAAACTAGACTTCAGGCTTTTGAACTTATAATAAATAAATTCAGCCTTGAAAATTCAAAGCATAAAATTCTGTTTTCTTTTAATAGCGCTATCTGTATTAATATTATTCATGTAAAATAAACTTATCTAAATATTTAAATAAATTTATTGTTACAGTGTTAGGATTTTTTCTTTTTAACATTTTGTTAAACTTTTAATTAAATATTATACATATGTAAGTAATTTATTATTATTGACAATTATTTCTGATGCTCTATTCTAAATCTCAGAGCTAACTTTAAGGAAATAATTGTTGTATTATTGACTTATAATAGATTAAATATAGTAAAATTTAAAAAACATCGTATACAGCCTGATTATGCACATATACGTGACAAAATAAATTTGTGTTAGGTTAAAATTAAATATTAGGTTGGGTAAAAAGGCTGTGGGTCAAAATTCCGACAAGCGAAATCCCGACAGGTCATAATCCTGACAAAAAAATCCCTACAGCCAAAAAAACTGACAGTTAAAAATCCCGATAATTAAAAACTCTGATGAAGATAAGCTAACTCTAGCCTAATTCTTATCTAAAGTAACATCATTCCCCCCCTCTCCCTGTAAAAAATTTTTTCCGAATATTTCCGTTACTTCTCCATATTTTTTGTGAAAACTCCGTGAATCTGCAACATGATCGACAAAATCTAGACAAGCCCATGACTTAAGGTTATAAATTCCGTGAATATGCAACATTTATGGACAAAACACGGAATATAAAATACGGATCGACTTTTTTATTGGGTCTCGGATAATTGTCCCCCCGAAAATTAAACAAGCCAATCGCAGCACAGCATAAACTTCATTTATCATGTGATTAGGTTGACTAATAATATTGGATCAAGTATTCACAGAATTATATGTGTTTGCTTAAATTTTCCCCACTCCCTCGCATCTGAGCCCAAATATTGATGTTAACCAACTAATCAACTTTGAATGGCCTTATCTATTCGAAAATCCAAATCTGGGCATCTGTAGGTAGGTTTATCTAGGTAGTATCATTAATAAAAAGATTGATAATTGGGCGATACAAATAAAATTAACTGGTTTTCATAACATTGGCAAAATTTAGACCCGGCTGCCCGGGGTTTTTTTATATATATAAAATTACACAGTTTTTGCTTATT